TGTATGTATGTGGCTGCTATGAAGTGAACTGTGTTTGGAATGTGATCAGGGATGTATTCATTCCACCGATTCTGTTGAAAAACTTTTCAAATGGAATGAAATGGGGTTAAACATACCTGAATTTGTCCAATAGAAACTCTCGTTTGCAACTGTTGGACTAATGATTACACCCTAGATCAGCTAGATGCAGGCAAGAGTGTGCAAGGCGGTATTGAATGTGTCAATGTCTGTCATCTTGATTACTCAAATTTCTCTCGACCTGTGAACCTTGCGTACATTGTAAACTTTAATTCATAGGCTAGGTTGTAGCAACTTACATTTAAGTCATTTAGCAGACACTCTTATCCAGAGTGACTTACAGGAGCAATTAGGGTTAAGTGCCTTGCTCAAGGGTACATCGACAGATTTTTCACCTAGTCGGTTTGGGGATTAGAACCAGCGACCTTTCGGTTACTGGCACAACGCTCTTAACCACTAAGCTACCTGCCGCCCCAACTTCATGATGGGTATAGGGAAAATTCGCCTAAACCTTTCGCTGTTTCATTGAGCTGGGTGAATATGCTGTATTATAAATAAGGCTTATAAATAAATAAAACTCGTCCTCCCTCATCTGAAACTGCACCGACCGCCACTGCATTCAAGACCGTTGTATTTTCAACAGATACAAGTTTGCCACCACCTATGAATGAGAATGCATTGTGTCACTGCAGTGATAGGGCAGTAAAAGACACACTGACTATTATCCGTGGCCATGCCACCGATGACACACAAAGCTATCCCACATACACATAGCGACCTTTCCTTTTTCTGACTCATTCATCATTCTGGATGGCTGCCAGACATACGGCTTCAATTTATACAGGCAATTTCCCCGTTGTGACCATCACCATCTTTGTTCGTTTATCAACATGCATGCTGTCATCACGCCTTCCTACTTGAGCTTGTTTCTATTCATTTATATTTCTAAAGATGTGATGCTGCACCCCAACTGCCACACCATCTACTTCGAATAACAGTATCATCAGCAAGAAAATAAATGCAGAAAATTCTAATTACCGGTGATAAACGTTGCGGTTTCGTTGAACACACCGCCCCTCTTCACTGAAATGATTGGGAAAGTGAAAACAACACGAGACGCATCCAATTTGATAATCTCTACTGTCTGTCTACGATATGAAGAAAGCCTCTATTCAAGCCTGTTGTTGACGTACGTAAATGCAAACTGCATGAGCAATGAGTGACAATAAAATGTTAAGGTGGACCTACAGCAGTGATGCTTAGATACTACCGTTGCCGCGTGAATAAAACGAAACATTGGCAGGAATTATGTTTGTTTGCTGTGTAATTGTAAAACGTGTTTATGACATTCATAAATTATAAACCGGTATGTTCAAGATGCTATCTAGACCACCTTAAATCGACAGTGCGGCTGTAGCCCAGTGAGCACCGTCCGACGCCGACGTCCACGGACGTTGAGATTTGGTCTGTCCACCCTGGCCTTGATTTCAAATCAAATCAAATCAAATTGTATTTGTAGACCTTACAGTGAAATGCTTACTTACAAGTCCTTAACCAACAATGCAGTTTTAAGAAAAATAAGTGTTAAGAAAGTATTTACTAAAATAAACTGAAGGAAAAAATTGATAAGTAAAACAAAGAAAAAATAAGAAAATATAGAAAAATAACAAATAATTAAAGAGCAACAATAAAATAACAGTAGTGAGGCTATATACAGGGGGTACCGGTGCAGAGTCAATGTGCGGGGCCACAGGTTAGTCGAGGTAATTGAGGTACTATGTAGATGTAGGTAGAGGTAAAGTGACTATGCATAGATAGTAAACAGAGAGTAGCAGCAGCGTCCACAGACGTCGTTTTGTTGTCCGGCATCGATTTGGCCCAAACATAGACGTCTATGATTGGTTCAGATTTGGCCCATCTTTCATTTCAACGTCCACAAACGTCTGGTCCGGACTTGATTTGGCCCAAACATAGTCGTCTATAATTGGTTCAGATTTGGTCCGGTCCGGACTCGATTTGGCCCAAAAATAAACATCTATGTTTTGGAAGTTTAGACAGCACAGTACAGTAGAGCTGGGGTTTTTTGCCCTAGCACTACACAGCTGATTCAAATAATCAAAGCTTGATGATGAGTTGGTTATTTGAATCAGTTGTGTAGTGCTAGGGCAAAAAACAAAATGTGCACCCAGGGCGGGCCCCGGGACCGAGTTTGGGAAACCCTGCAGTAGAGCACAGCAGAGTACAGTACAGTAGAGCAGAGTACAGAAGAGTACAGTAAAGTATAGTTCAGTACAATACAGAATAGTACAGTATAATAGAGCACAGTAAAGTACAGTATAATGTACTATATTGTACTGTACCCTACTGTACTTTACTGTACTGTACTCTACCGAACTAAACTGTTCTGTACTGAACTAAACTCTACTGTACTGTGCTGTCCAAACTTGTGAAATAGGCATCTATGATTGGTTCAGATTTGGTCCGGTCCGACCAAATGTGGTCTTGTTTGGGGTTGGAGCTCATTTGAATAATACCCAGCATGCATTGTAAGGGTTCATTTACATTTAGGGCAGATGCTCTTATCTAGAGTGAATTACAGTCAGTGTATTCAACTAAGGTAGATAAACAACCACAGATCACAGTCATAGCAAGAAAAAACGTTTCTGTAACCATTATTGAGAATGTTATAAAATAAGTTTTTTTTCTGTTGGTCTAAAAACTTTGAACATGGTCACTGCCAGTTCTAAAGCGTTTGAAAAAACGAATGACAGAAGGGAGCAATAATAAATATTCCATACTGCAATATTCAGTTTGCTCCATTTTCCTATTTTAATTGGAATTTTTGTAATGTGATATAATGCTTTCTTCATTGAGATGTAGAGATAAGTGAATGTATGTACGGTTAAAATTTGGCCATAGAAACAATGACCCAAAATATATGCATTTTCAACGTCCGTAAAATACATATTTTCAACATCTGTAAAATGCATATTTATAACATCTGGAAAATACGTATTTTCAATGTCTGGAAAATGAGTATTTTCAACATCTGGAAAATACTTATTTCCAAGGTCAATATGTATTTTCCACGGCCAGAAAATAAGTATTTTCAACTTTCATTCAGAACTGAAAGTTAACCTGATTTCAATGTCATATACATTCATGCTACACACTTATCACAACTGCTGCTGCCACAGACTCTTATTATGATTGCTAAATACTGCACAATTTAAACATTACATTTACATTTACATTTTAGTCATTTAGCAGACGCTCTTATCCAGAGCGACTTACAGTTAGCACATACATTATTTTATCGAACCCACAACCCTGGCGTTGCAAACGCCATGCTCTACCAACTGAGCTACATCCCCTGCCGGCCATTCCCTCCCCTACCCTGGACGACGCTGGGCCAATTGTGCGCCGCCCCATGGGTCTCCCGGTCGCGGCCGGCTACGACAGAGCCTGGATTCGAACCAGGATCTCTAGTGGCACAGCTAGCACTGCGATGCAGTGCCTTAGACCACTGCGCCACTCGGGAGACTCCATTTGCCCCCCAATCCCCCCTTCCCCAAAACACATGTAAATAAATTCGTATTCTTATCTTTTATTATTTCTTATTGATGTTGCATTGTCGAGAAGGAACTAGCAAGTAAGCAATTCGTTGGATGGTGTATATACCATGTGTATGCTGTACATATGACTAATAAAATTGACACCGAAAAGTACTAAGCTAACGTTAGCTAGTTTCTCCTTTCAGGCTATGTGCATTTTAAAACAGTTTTTATATCTTGCAAAAACACAGAGAAAGTGAATTGATACATGTTCTGCTATTGCTCATGATAACGATTGAAAAACTGAATCCAAATCCATTCAGATGAACAAGAACCTCTGCAAAATCTACTGGATTTCTTCTTCTTCTTCAGTGGGGTTTATCGGTGGTTGGCATCCACCATTATGGTGCATTACCGCCACCTACTGTACTGGAGTGTGGATCTACTGGATTTTATAAAACATTTTAAGTTTAACGTCATACAACTTGCGTCAGATTGGTGGCGTTCGAGGTCGTTTTCTTTTGTACTCACGCTGCACAGATGATCAGTCTCACGATGACTGTGAAAGCATTTAACGCCACAAGATCCACATTCATATGATAATAATAATATAATATGCCATTTAGCAGACGCTTTTATCCAAAGCGACTTACAGTCATGTGTGCATACATTTTTACGTATGATACAAACAATGTGACCGACCAGTGGGTTGCAAACCCGGATCTCATGCCAGAGGACCACATAGCTGAATATGAATACATCCAAGTCGTAAAGACAAAGCCCAACCTCCCAACACATTTTAAATTTTAGTCATTTAGTAGACGCTCTTATCCAGAGCGACTTACAGTTAGTGAGTGCATACATTATTTCATACAGGCCCCCCGTGGAAAACGAACCCACAAGCCTGGCGTTGCAAGCGCCATGCTCTACCAACTAAGCTACATGGGACTACCTCAACAGTTTCCCCACATAGGACGACTAACAATTTACATCGGTCCAATTAATGGTCCCCATGGCACGCCCAAATGTCACCTACAGGGCTCCAAACTCCAATTCACATACAAGGGACGGTACTTATGTTTTGTATTGACTTGGGGAGCAGTCAATACAAATCTCCAGGTCCCAGCAGGCAACTGATGAAAGGTATAATTATAACCCAAGTGTGATCACCAAACCACCTCTGTGGTTTGACCCTTTGATCTTGTCCTCAGGGTAGAACACACAGATGTTTTGTATCCAAAAATTCCATATAGAGGCATTGGCTTTTCAACAGGAGCATGTCCACCTTGCCTCCTGTACTTGTGCAACGAGAGCAATTTTTGATGCTGGTGTGTAGCGCGACATAAAAAAAGACGAGCTGGAACGCCCCCATAGACTAACACCGTTGCATTGTGGGATCCGAATTGGTAGTCACGTTTTTGATCCAGCATGGCAGGAAAACAGAAAAGCAAAAGGTAAATTGCTCACAGTGAAATGTGGGTACTGATAACGAACACATTTGTTCTATTACATAACAATATAGCTAGCTTATTTATGTATTGTACGTGTCAAGTGTTTTGTGTCGTTCTTTATTTCCCTTGGAATGTTGAAAGCAGAGTTGGTAGCTCACTTGTAATAATCAACGTTAGCCTTAGCTAATAGTTAGCTAGCTTGCTTGGTTTGAAACATAATGGTTGGCTAACTCGCTAACCAAGTGAGTTGAGCGAGTGATCAACATGTAACGTCCTCCCCCGTTCAGTTTGTAAGTTTGTTTTGGCATGACTTATTGAAATGTAACGTTAAACGGATCAAACGAACTAACGTTAGCTAATTTCGCCAACTAAACTAACTTTACACGCCATCATAGTCACTGGAGTGAGACTTGTAAAATATTTACATTTACATAATTTAGCAGGCAAAGTGTAGCTTGTTTGAGTGTAGCTAATTAACTGACCTTTGACTTTAATTAAATATATTTCTGTTTGCTAAATTGGCTGTGTATTGTTTCTATGTTGCAGGAAGTTGGAGGACCTCAGTGTGGACGAGTTCCTGCTATCTGGCTTTGACTCGGCAGGTGAGGCTGATTCTGAGGATGACACTCCCACCCGGCATGGACAGAAATCGAAGAAGAAAGCAGGGCAATCAGCAGCTCAAGACAAGTAAGTGTTTCAGTCTCACTTCTTCAGTCAGTATCTGCCCCAGATACTTTAGTGTACCCGAAAAATACAAATGTCCTCCCAGGTCACCTGGTAGAATGTTATTTAATACATGAGTATGTCCTGTCTTGCAGGGGTGATGACAAAAAGAAAGGCAAGGCATCTCAGCACAAAGACTCACTGTCAAGGTTAAAAAGTAAAGATCCAGAGTTCTATAAGTTCTTGCAGCAGAACGACCAGACCCTGCTCAACTTTGACGACACCGACAGCTCCGAGGATGAGGAAGAGAGGAAGTACCACACGCTGCCCAAACAACTGGAGGTACTAGGGCTTTGACTTTGAAAAATGTTTCATGATGTGAAAACGTAATTCAGATTATGTATAGACTGAATATAGGGTAAGTTGATGCACATTTGTTTCTGATCTAATATGGTAGCCTATGCTTGATTTAAACCAGCAGCATTAGAGATTAACATCTAATTTTACACGTGTAAATGTCATATTTGAGGGGATGCTGATTTTACACTCAACATGTATTTGTTTATTTTCATGATTTGTATTCCTTAGAATGTTTTCTTTGTCTCTATAATGGTCTTTACATTTTTCAGAATAATGTTAACTTCAAGGTTATGTGTGACGCTAGGAGGCCAGTTCTGATGATGAGGAGGAACAAGGAGAGTCCACAAAGAAATCCAAGAAGACAGCAGAGGTTATCAAAGTAACAGAGAAAATGGTTGATGAGTGGCAAGCTGCAATCAAGGTAACACTTACCTACAGACTATCCACCTAGCATAGACCTCCTCCATTTTCCTCTACCAGACTTTAGGTGTAGTCATTGTAAACAGACACAACCACACCGGGATGCAGGTTGCATAATGGCCCTTTTAAATAACCAACTTTTGACGCATATTTTCTCTCCGCAAATAGAATAGTGCTGGGTCCCATCTTCCACCTCCCAAACCTCTGGGTTAACTACCGTCCCATGAGTGTCATGATAAAAAACAATGCCTACCGGGCAGCATTAATTTGGAAGGAAAACGTATTATTACATGAAGTCAAGACGCTTTTGTGTCTACTGTACCACAATGCCAGTGCTTTTGCCCTTCGTTCTTATATGCATCTTTTCTTGCCTCCCATCCCTTTGTCTTCAGGATGAGCCTACACCTCGCCTCTTCAGAGAGGTCACACAGGCCTTCAAGGCTGCTGTGGCGACCACCAAAGGAGAGGGGGGAGATCCATGTCGATACAAAGTGGCCGACAGTTCAGGTAGGGATCATACCCCCCATGAGTGTGTATGATCCCCTCTTTAGTAGTGTCAACATACTTTAGCCCCAAGGACGATGACATAATTTGTGGTGTGTGTGTGTGTGTTCTCCAATAGTGTTCAACGCGTTGGTCCTGTTCTGTATCCGAGACGTGTACGTGGCTCTGCAGAGGATGCTCAACCTAAAGCCAGATAAAGACCAGAAGAAGTAATAAATGGACACCTTTCTTCTTTACAAAAGCTTTAACCATTTCCCTAACACTTAGTTTTGAGTAGAACAATAGCTAAACAGATGAGCCAATGTATTTTATTATCTGTGTCAAGGTGAATATTTTTTCAGGTGTATCCATTTTGGTCTTCCCTCTGATTTTCTCATCTTCAGGCCAGTGCTTCCATCGTGCAGTCCTAAATGGCAGAAGAACCAGGTGGACATCAGGATGTATCTCAGTGGGATCGTTCAGGTCTGTTTGTTTCATCCTCTGTCCCATTTTCCCCTTGTTTCCCCCCTCTTGTCTGAATTGTCACTGATACCTTTCCTTTTTCTTGCATACAGTATTTGTATTGGATGTACCCTCGTGTTTTAAAAATGTTTCTACCTTTTTACTCTTGTCGATGAACATTTTCAATTGATGTACCTCTACTTACAATGGCAAATAAATTGAACTTTAACTCTCCTACTCCGTTCACAGCTCTTGTCCTGTCTCACCGAGGCCACCGTCATCAGTGCAGTTCTGAGGCACGCCAACCAGCTGGTGCCCTACTACCTGTGTAACCCCAAACAGTGTCGCCACCTGCTCAAGGTGAGTTCCGGTTACCACAGCAGCACCTATATGTAGGCTGACCAAACTGCGTGATGATCATCAGGGGAATTATGCAAATAATGTCTCTGTAATGTAAAGCAGTTATGATTTAGTTCTAGGGATGATAACCCTGCAGAGATAAACCACATTAATATCAGTTGAGTTTATAAAGGGTGTTGTGGAGCACTGGAGGATCCCTCCCTAGGAAATGACATATTACTGCTGTCAGAAGAAAACCTTGTAACTCCATTTTGCCCCAGTATTTATTTTTATTTTTAAATGAATTGAAAGTAGTAACTCTGAAGTTTCATAAATGGTCAAATATGGATGTTTTTGTCATTTCCTGAAAAGTTTTTAAAGATGCAAGGCTTCTGACAGTGACACTATGCTCTGGACTGGTAGCCTTGCTATTGGGACCTGGGTCCATTCCGAAGTTCGCTCTCACAGTCCACTTCTCTCACCTTTTTCTAGCAACTGATCAATCAGTGGAGCACCGGGGAGGAGACGAGCCGTGTGCTGGCTTTCCTGGCCCTCAACAAGATCTGCCGACACAAGCAAGACACCTACCTCAACCCTATTTTCAAGGTATGTCCTCTACGTCTGTTTCTCGCTCTCTTCCATGTGTGAAATATGCTTCATTCATTTGGCCCGCGGTAGTTAATACCCTTTAGGAGTGAGTAAGTAAGGTTTATGTCTCCACATCTGCATTAAAAATGCTAAGCAAATATAGCTACAGTGAGGGAAAAAAGTAATTGATCCCCTGCTGATTTTGTACGTTTGCCCACGGACAAAGAAATGATCAGTCTATATGTAGGTTTATTTGAACAGTGAGAAACAGAATAACAACAAAAAAATCCAGAAAAACGCATGTCAAAAATGTTATAAATGGATTTGCATTTTAATGAGGGAAATAGGTAAAAAAAAGATTTCTGGCTCCCAGGTGTCTTTTATACAGGTAACGAGCTGAGATTAGGAGCACACTCTTAAAGGGAGTGCTCCTAATCTCAGTTTGTTACCTGTATAAAAGACACCTGTCCACAGAAGCAATCAATCAATCAGATTCCAAACTCTCCACCATGGTCAAGACCAAAGAGCTCTCCAAGGATGTCAGGGACAAGATTGTAGACCTACACAAGGCTGGAATGGGCTACAAGACCATAGCCAAGCAGCTTGGTGAGAAGGTGACAACAGTTGGTACGATTATTCGCAAATGGAAGAAACACAAAAGAACTGTCAATCTCCCTCGGCCTGGGGCTCCATGCAAGTTCTCACCTCGTGGAGTTGCAATGATCATGAGAACGGTGAGGAATCAGCCCAGAACTACACAGGAGTATCTTGTCAATGAACTCAAGGCAGCTGGGACCATAGTCACCAAGAAAACAATTGGTAACACAGTACGCAGTGAAGGACTGAAATCCTGCAGCGCCCGCAAGGTCCCCCTGCTCAAGAAAGCACATATACAGGGCCGTCTGAAGTTTGCCAATGAACATCTGAATGATTCAGAGGAGAACTGGGTGAAAGTGTTGTGGTCAGATGAGACCAAAATCGAGCTCTTTGGCATCAACTCAACTCACAGTGTTTGGAGGAGGAGGAATGACCCCAAGAACACCATCCCCACCGTCAAACATGGAGGTGGAAACATTATGCTTTGGGGGTGTTTTTCTGCTAAGGGGACAGGACAACTTCACCGCATCAAAGGGACGATGGACGGGGCCATGTACCGTCAAATCTTGGGTGAGAACCTCCTTCCCTCAGCCAGGGCATTGAAAATGGGTAGTGGATGGGTATTCCAGCATGACAATGACCCAATGCACACACCCAAGGCAACAAAGGAGTGGCTCAAGAAGAAGCACATTAAGGTCCTGGAGTGGCCTAGCCAGTCTCCAGACCTTAATCCCATAGAAAATCTGTGGAGGGAGCTGAAGGTTTGAGTTGACAAACGTCAGCCTCGAAACCTTAATGACTTGGAGAAGATCTGCAAAGAGGAGTGGAACAAAATCCCTCCTGAGATGTGTGCAAACCTGGTGGCCAACTACAAGAAACGTCTGACCTCTGTGATTGTCAACAAGGGTTTTGCCACCAAGTACTAAGTCATGTTTTGCAGAGGGGTCAAATTCTTATTTCCCTCATTAAAATGCAAATCAATTTATTACATTTTTGACATGCGCTTTTCTGGATTTTGTTTTTGTTATTCTGTCTCTCACTGGGAAACGTACAAAATCAGCAGGGGATCAAATATTTTTTTCCCTCACTGTACCTAGTTAGTGGCAAAAGTGTATGCACATAAACATTCCTGAAAGGTGGCACACAGTGGGGGGAAAAAAGTATTTAGTCAGCCACCAATTGTGCAAGTTCTCCCACTTAAAAAGATGAAAGGCCTGTAATTTTCATCATAGGTACACGTCAACTATGACAGACAAATTGAGGAGAAAAAATCCAGAAAATCACATTGTAGGATTTTTAATGAATTTATTTGCGTTTAATAATATATTATTTAATTTAATAATATTTAATAATATATTATGGTGGAAAAATAAGTATTTGGTCACCTACAAACAAGCAAGATTTCTGGCTCTCACAGACCTGTAACTTCTTATTTAAGAGGCTTCTCTGTCCTCCACTCGTTACCTGTATTAATGGCACCTGTTTGAACTTGTTATCAGTATAAAAGACACCTGTCCACAACCTCAAACAGTCACACTCCAAACTCCACTATAGCCAAGACCAAAGAGCTGTCAAAGGACAACAGAAACAAAATTGTAGACCTGCAACAGGCTGGGAAGACTGAATCTGCAATAGGTAAGCAGCTTGGTTTGAAGAAATCAACTGTGGGAGCAATTATTAGGAAATGGAAGACATACAAGACCACTGATAATCTCCCTCGATCTGGGGCTCCACGCAAGATCTCACCCCGTGGGGTCAAAATGATCACAAGAACGGTGAGCAAAAATCCCAGAACCACACGGGGGGACCTAGTGAATGACCTGCAGAGAGCTGGGACCAAAGTAACAAAGTCTACCATCAGTAACACACTACGCCGCCAGGGACTCAAATCCTGCAGTGCCAGACGTGTCCCCCTGCTTAAGCCAGTACATGTCCAGGCCCGTCTGAAGTTGGCTAGAGTGCATTTGGATGATCCAGAAGAGATTGGGAGAATGTCATATGGTCAGATGAAACCAAAATAGAACTTTTTGGTAAAAACTCAACTCGTCGTGTTTGGAGGACAAAGAATGCTGAGTTGCATCCAAAGAACACCATACCTACTGTGAAGCATGGGGATGGAAACATCATGCTTTGGGGCTGTTTTTCTGCAAAGGGACCAGGACGACTGATCCGTGTAAAGGAAAGAATGAATTGGGCCATGTATCGTGAGATTTTGAGTGAAAACCTCCTTCCATCAGCAAGGGCATTGAAGATGAAACGTGGCTGGGTCTTTCAGCATGACAATGATCACAAACACACCGCCCGGGCAACGGAGTGGCTTCGTAAGAAGCATTTCAAGGTCCTGGAGTGGCCTAGCCAGTCTACAGATCTCAACCCCATAGGAAATCTTTGGAGGGAGTTGAAAGTCCGTGTTGCCCAGCGACAGCCCCAAAACATCACTGCTCTAGAGGAGATCTGCATGGAGGAATGGGCCAAAATACCAGCAACAGTGTGTGAAAACCTTGTGAAGACTTACAGAAAACGTTTGACCTGTGTCATTGCCAACAAAGGGTATATAACAAAGTATTGAGAAACTTTTGTTATTGACCAAATACTTATTTTCCACCATAATTTGCAAATAAATTCATAAAAAATCCTACAATGTGATTTTCTGGATTTTTTTCCCTCATTTTATCTGTCATAGTTGACGTGTATTTATGATGAAAATTACAGGCCTCTCTCATCTTTTTAAGTGGGAGAACTTGCACAATTGGTGGCTGACTAAATACTTTTCCCCCCCCACTGTAACAGTACAAAGTGGAAGGTATAAAGTTGCCTGCACAATGTTGGAACTCCCAAAATGGACATTTTATTATTTTAAACCAAACTCTTAACACCCTTTAACCTCTTGTTTTTCCCTCAGCAAATGTACATCTCGTACGTGCAGAACTGCAAGTTCACGTCGCCCACTGTTCTGCCTATGATCAACTTCATGCAGCGGACGCTGACAGAGATGTACTCGCTGGACACACAGGCCTCCTACCAGCACGGCTTCATCTACATCCGCCAGCTGGCTATCCACCTGAGGAACGCCATGACCATGAAGAAGAAGGTAAGCAGTTCAGCACTCCTACTCTAAGATGCTTTGTGAATACGGGCCCTGGATGTTGGAAATAAGGATACGTCAATGATGTCATAGGACACCAGGAAGTACAGCTAAAGATGATAATAGAAGTAATGACATTATCTATACGATTGTTTTTATAGTGGTCTGTGATATTCTAACATTGGAGCTAAGGGTTCCAATATTGGTCTAGACCATTGCTTGTCTCAGACTGTATCCCAGTAATAATTTAGAAACCACCAACAATGGCATGTATATCAGTGCTGATGGTAAATGTGATGTGTGTGATCCCTGCAGGAGACGTACCAGTCGGTGTATAACTGGCAGTTTGTTCACTGCCTGTACCTGTGGTGTCGTGTGCTCAGCACCCTGCACCCCAGCGATGTCCTGCAGCCCCTCATCTACCCACTGTGCCAGGTCATAGTGGGCACCATCAAGTGGGTACACACACAGACCTATGTGCTTAACTTGGGATCATACTGTTACATGGGCTATGATATCGTATCACACACACTACCAGGATATCACACAGAGAGCTATGGGGAAGGATAATACTGGATCTCTTTTCAAAAAGTAATATGAATATAAAGCTAAACCATCTGTTTTCACCAACTATTAGCATTAGTATACAGTTGTTGTATAGATCAACAATAACAAGTGCTTTAGTATGGATACCCTCTCTTAGGGTAGAATGTCTAGTTAGCATGATACGAGCAGCCTATGGTCTCCGCAGATTTTGTATTGTTTTTCAGTCTGACTTTAATTACGTTCACATAAAACATAAAAACGGACACAGATTAAGCCTAGTCCTAGACTAAAAAGCATGCTCAATGGAGAATCTCTATTGAAAGCGAAATAATGTTTGGCCCAGTACTAGGCTTAATCTGTGTCTGTGAAACTGCACCCAAAAGTTGAACTTCACACTTTCACCAGCAGGTGGTAGTGTTGACCACTGTTGTGAATCTCCATCTGTCTTGCTGTGCAGGCTGGTACCCACTTCACGCTACTACCCTTTGAGGATCCACTGTGTGCGAGCCCTCACCCTCCTCTCTGGCAGCACCCACACCTTCGTGCCCGTTCTGCCCTTCCTACTGGAGGTAAGACCCCCTACCCCCTGCTCATCTCTCCTCCCAGAGCAATACCCTCCAGGGCCTGTATTTACAAAGCGTCTCAGAGTAAGTGTTCTGATCTACGATCAGTTTGGCCTTTTTTACTTGTTTATGAATAAGAGTATATCGACAGCAGGACCTTATCATAGATCAGCACTCCTACTATATGACTCTTTGTGGTCCTGCTGGATTTATCTCCAACCCTACTGTAGCTCAACTAGTTCAGGGCTCTCCAACCCTGTTCCTGGAGAGCTACCGTCCTGTAGGTTTTCACTCCAACCCTAATCTAGCACACCTGATTCTAATAATTAGCTGGTTGTTAAGCTGAATCGGGTTAGTTACACCTGGGGTTGGAGTGAAAACCTACAGGAGGGTAGGTCTGGAAGAACAGGGTTGGAGAGGCCTGAAGTAGTTAAATGCTAACCAGGACCGTGATCAGCGGAATCCGGTATGTTAATTTACAACAGGGTCGGTTCAAAACTCTGCATGTATTCCCAGTAGCTCACTAGGAGGAGGGTTGGCCACTTGTGTGGCCTAGATCAGAAAGGATTGAATAGATGTGAGCAATACGGCGCGAGGACAGCATTGGGCAACAAAACCAATGGAGAAACAGTGTGGGAGTGTTGTAACATTTTGTTAGGTATCAGTGGAAAACAGTCCGTGTAGGTCTCAATAGCTAACAACGAAATAGGTTCTGAAAGATGAGGGGGAGGAAGTAAATCTGAGTGGTGTGTGTTTGTGACATCAACCTTATTCCCGCCCCCCACCCCCCAAAAAAACCCTGCGCTTGACTTTTCCTGCTAGCACTGACTTTGCTGATAACTTCTTTATTGAGGGGAAATGGACTTACTACAACTGTGATATGTGGTCTGGATAAGAGCGTCTGCTAAATTACTAAAATGTAAATGTCAAATGTTAGAAACCTTTGTTATTAGTGCAGGTCACACACTGTCAACATTTTCAGTTTGACTGTGTGTGTTGGTTTGGCATGCGAGTATGTGTGGTGTGCATGCGTTTGTAAGGGTTTCCATTAGCTGGCAATTGAACGGTACGTTCATGCTGCGAACAGCCCGTTACATCTCATCCCAAAGATGCGCTATTGGGTTGAGTTCTGGGGACTGCGCAGGCCACTCAAGTAAACTGAACTCGCTGTCATGTTCCAGGCAATGTTTTTCCACTCCTCAATTGTCCAGTGTTGGTGATCGCATGCCCACTGGAGCTGCTTCTTCTTGTTTTTATCGGATATTAGTGGAACCCGGTGTGGTTGTCTGCTGCAATAGCCCATCCGTGACAAGGACCGATGTTCAGAGATGCCGTTCTGCACACTGTTGTACTGGGCTGTTATTTGCCTATTTGTGGGCCTGCCTGTTTGCTTGCATGATTCTTGCCGTTCTCCTTTGACCTCACATCAATTAGCTGTTTTCGCCCACAGGACTGCCGCTGACGGGGTGTTTTTTGTTTGTTGCAACATTCTCGGTAAACCCTAGACACTGTCGTTTCTGGAGGCCGTCCGTTTCTAAGATACTGGAAACGGTGCACCTGGCACCGACGATCATACCACGCTCAGTCACTTGTTTTGCCCATTCTAACGTTCAAACAGTAACTGAATGCCTCTGCCTGATTTATATAGCAAGCCACGGCCACTTGACTCACTGTCTGAATGAGTGAACCATTTTCGTGAACGGGGTGGTGCACCTAATAAACTGGCCACTGAGTGTACTGTGAAGTGTAATGGGAGGGTGTTGGGTGTCGTGACAAACAATGGATGCCATTAGGGCTGGGATTTGCCAGAGACCTCGCGATAGGATATTATCACTATACTTAGGTGCCGATACGATATGTGTGATTTTTATTGCAATTCGACGTTCCAAACATATTGCTCACCAGATGTCTGCTGCAGAGGGACAAGGGAGAGCCATGAGAAAACAAGTTTTCATTAGTCATGGAAATAAAGGTGCTGAAAACACATTTACCCCTTATTTGAAAATAGAGAACAAGCTATGAAGGAAAATTAATGGAGTTTTGGTGCAGGTACAGCCAACTAGTGCAAAAATAATATTGTGATATTCTGAAAACGATACGTCGTCAAAAATAATATCCCGATATGTAACTATAGATTAATTTTTGTCAATTATTTTCCCATCACTAGATGCTATGCCCAAATGTAAAGCATGCCGTGCTAAGAACGTTCAACTCTGGTAATGTTTCAGCCCTTTAGTGAAGCCTGTGAAATCTGGTGCGTTATATTTGCTCTTTGCAAAGGGTATTCCTCAAGCTCTGATATACAAAAATTAACATAGCAGGTTACAAAGTAGTGCTTCGTAGCTACGCTTTGATGTATGGGGTTGTCCATTTGTCAGGGACTGGACCAAATTCACGTTTCCCCACACCCATCAAGCCAGCTAAGTAGCTGTGTGAGAGTACTTGACGCCGTTCACTGAGGGTTAGTGCTATCCGGGATCCTTGGGAAGACCCTACTCTAAACCTTAACTCCTAACCATAACCCTTACCTAACCCAAACCTTAACCCAGATACCAACGATCGTTCACTGAGGCCACGCTTTGGGCGAGAGGCAGCGCTGTGCCAGCGGCAGATTTTGTGATTTATGTTTTTCCTTTGGAGTGACAACTACCAGAATTCAGTGGCTTCAGCCCTACAATCGTTTAAAATTTAGGACACAATTTCAATGTTTTGGTATTTATCTATGTCGTTTTACAGCTGGCTAGGAGACAGCTCAGTCTTCAGAGCCAAGGCAATTTTTTTGCCAGAATCAGTGCAGTGTATCCTCCTTTCACTAGAGTAACAGTTTTGCCATAAAGAAATATTGTCTTTCTGGTGATTCTACATTTTATGTGGCGCTTACATTGTTTTTTTCTCAAATATAAGAAACCAGCTTTCTGAGTATCTTTGTAAGCACAATCCATAAAGAAAAAGTAAATGTTTAATTCCAGCCAAAATAAAAAATATATCTGTAGATGTATCGGTTATCAGTGAATATTTCCGCAAGGGGTTGGAACTGAAATTATTTTCCAATCGTTTAGTTCTGAACAGAACCATACTTTTTTTCGTTCCGTTCCACTGTTCCGACCAGCAAAATAAAGTTTGGTATCGGTTCGAATCCAAACAAGTTACTGGTTTATATTGTTCCTGTCTTTTCCTTTTTAAACCTCTGAAATCATATATTTTTTTTACATTTTTAGCTCTGCATTAAATTACTTAACCGATCATGCAGTGCGGATAGAGCAGCTTAACTAGCATCAAGAAAGTTTTCAGTTCTGTTCCCTGAACAGGTTCCAACCCCTGATTTCCACTCTAGAATCGGTTCCAAAAATCCCATATAGTTTGGGCTCTAGTGTGTGTGTGTCAGTGGGTGTTAGCCTCCTGTGGTAAGTAGTGGTGGGGAGTCTACTCCAAAATAATAGATTCCTCAACCATTTCTGGGTGTCAAGCTTAGATTCCGCTAGGAATCGACTCCTTAGATTCAGTATTTTTGCAACGGAGGAAACGGTTTTGCATAGTCTACCTCGAGAACACAAACTCTTGCATCTTTCACAGCAAAGAAAGAGCTAGCGGGAGAGGGAGGGGCACCAGGCAGACCGTCAGAACCGTGCATCAGTAATGAAAAGATCTAGGCTATAGGCTATCGCAATGCTGTATTTTGCAATAGCTTGGCTTGCAATGTCTAGCGCAAGTTCTTTAAAGTAGGTATAATCAATGAGTAGGCTGAGCTATTCTACACGCAACAGACACTAGTGTTTTTCGTAGCGAACAGAAAAAGGAGCAGGCGAGGGAGAGAGGATTGGGGCAGGCAGAGAGACGGTCAGAACAGTGTGCATAGGCTATATCTTGGTAATCTGTATCTAGCAATGCCTCATAAATTCACCTTAAGTATATATTAGGCTATCACTGAGTATAGCTAAACTATTACGTCATAGTGTCAGTGAATTGGAGTTGAACATTGCCAAATGCATCAGTTTAATTAGGCCTAAATGTGCAATAAAATATATTGCCTATAGCTTATTTAATGAAAACATACAGAATGGTAGATCTCCACGAACAGGGTTGGAGAGCCCTCTCCTAGGCAATAGAAGCAGCAACCCTGCTAAACATTTTGAAAATGGCACGTTCACTTTATCATCCATAAATAGTGAAGTGCAAATAGGGTTCAGCAGCTCTAATCAGCAGGATGTGGGGCATTGTTATTAGGAAGGACGTCTACCATGGATGGAGCGCTAAAATAATGATTATGATCACACTTCAATTTAAATATTATGGGGAGACCGATACATTTGGCAGCCAAGCACGAATTATCAGTGTGTAGTATAAAAAAATAACAATAAAATATGTATGCACTAACTGTAAGTCGCTCTGGATAAGAGCGTCTGCTAAATGACTAAAATGTAAATGTAGCCTATAGTCTAGACATGATGTTGAAATATCTTCACAACTACAATAAACACCTCCTGGCTTCTGTCATAAGAGTCAAATCAATTTGGAAAAATTAAGAATTACAGGGGGCCGTTTGGGGAAAAAACGAATCCTATGTGAATTGTCCTCTGACAAAACCAACGTCTCTAGTAATACTGGTCCGAATAGGGCTATAACATGGTAAATAATAGGCTTATCAGCGTACAGTGCACCGCATAATCCCGTGGTATCCGTCAAGGCTGCAAACAGCAAAGAAATCACTGAAATATTCTAGTTCCTACACATCACCTTCTATAGTCAAACAAAATAAGCCTTTTATAGCAAATGGGCAGTATCATGCTCATGTCAGTCCTATAGAACGCAAATGTAGTCTTCCTTGTAGGACTTTGCAATAATGAGGTGGTGTGTATGTGTGTGCGCATCCGTTTCAGCGTGTTTTGGGAGTCGAGCAAGAGTCAACTCCTTTCGACTCCAATCACAGTAGTCGGAGTCGACTCAAAAAATCCTGGACTCGTGAACCACTAGTGGTAAACTAGCATGAGAACGGCAGTATGGAGGTGACCGCTTGGCCTTGTGGGAGTGATCACTGTGTTATGTGTGGACGGTTTGACCAGAGCGATAAAGACAGTGCTGTGGTTACGCTCTGCTCCTAACGCGCTCTGCAGACCACATCCTTTCTGCCTATGGCGCAGCCGTCCACCCCTTCACCCCAGCACACAGACGCACACACTCCATTTCCTGTCTGTCTTCTCTTTTACTGTTCCCCTCGTTAAACGGAAAAGAGAGGCTGAGGTGCGCACTGTTTTAATTGGAGCAGCAGAAGCAACCCCCATGTGCTCCTCTGTGTTTGTGTGTGTGTGCTGGGGGTGGACTGCTGCGCCATAGGCAGAGAGGATGTGGTCTGCAGAGCGCGTTCGGAGTAAAGCGTAACCACAGCCTTGTCTTTATCGCTCTGGTCAGACTGCACACACTCCAGACCATCACGGTGACCACGCCCCACAAGGCCAAGCTGTTGCCCCCATACTGCCGTTTTCATGCTAGCTTACCACAGGAGGCCAGCACTCACTAAGACACGCACACACTCCATATACAATAACACAGACCACACATCATACACACACATGTCCATGCACACCACACATACTCGCGTGTGTGTGTGCGCATGTATCTCTCCAAGTGGGGGATAGCGGGGGGGTGGTATATGATTTGGAGCTTCCTGCTCCGGTGTCTTCCTCTGTATCAGGGCTGAACCATGTCTTCCCACTTCCCCCAGCAGACCGCCACCACATCCAATGTTTGTACAGACATACCGGGCCAGGAGCGCTCCACTCGCCTAGTACCAACGTCCTCTCACACACACACACACACACATAGCGATACGCAAAGACACAAAATAATATACAGGGATAGGCCCATCTAGCACACAAACACGCACATTGAGATGTACAAAATATAGGTAAAAACACAAATATACACTGGCACATACTGTGCTGATGCACATGCACATTATTTTGCCGTTAATGGTGTGCTTGTTTAAGCTCTACTTTGGCAATATCTTTACGTTGAACATTTACTAGTGTCTATTTACATTGAACATTTATTAGTGTCTATTGTCAGGAGTCTGAATGATTTTCCATGAGACAAGCCATGGAATGATTACCAAATGATGCTGATGTCTGGCTCGTGTGAGGGCACTGTTGCTGTTCTGTTTTGACATTGTGTAATTTGTGTCATGTCTTTGCAAATGTTGCGTGATTTCTGAACGCACTAATTTTGTGTTCATTGCTTGTTTAGATCATCCATCAGGTGGACTTCAACAAGAAGCCTGGCCGGATGAGTGTGAAGCCCATCAAATTTGATGTTATCCTGAAGCTCAGCAACACCAACCTGCAGGAGAAGGCCTATAGGGTGAGTACTGCTAGCTTAGCATGCTAACTAACTAGGCTTGTCTGCCTCAGGAGAATACTTAGACTAGGGGAGTACTGCTAGCTTAGTTAGCATGTATTATCTGTGGCAGGAGTAGGCTTAGTACTGGGTAAATCCATTTTGACAGCACCTCTTTTGATTTGAACAAAACCTTACATGCATACAGTACCAGTCAAACGTTTGGACACCTACTCATTCAAGGGTTTTTCTTTATTTTTACTAGTTTTTACATTGTAGAATAATAGTGAAGACATCAAAACTATGAAATAACACATATGGAATCATGTAGTAACCAAAAAAGTGTTAAACAAATCAAAATATATTTTATATTTGAGATTCTTCAAATAGCCACCCTTTTCCTTTGACAGCTTTGCACACTCTTGGCATTCTCTCAACCAGCTTCACCTGGAATGCTTTTCCAACAGTCTTGAAGGAGTTCCCACATATGCTGAGCACTTGTTGGCTGCTTTTCCTTCACTCTGCTGTCCAACTCATCCCAAACCATCTCAATTGGGTTGAGGTCGGGGGATTGTGGAGGCCAGGTCATCTGATGCAGCACTCCATCACTCTCCTTGGTCAAATAGCCCTTACACAGCCTGGAGGTGTGTTGGGTCATTGTCCTGTTGAAAAACAAACGATAGTCCCACTAAGCCCAAACCAGATGGGATGGCGTATCGCTGCAGAATGCTGTGGTGGCCATGCTAGTTAAGTGTGCCTTGAATTCTAAATAAATCACTGACAGTGTCACCAGCAAAGCACCCCCACACCATAACACCTCTTCCTCCATGCTTTACGGTGGGAACTACACATGCGGAGATCATCCGTACAAAGACACGGCGGTTGGAACCCAAAATCTCCAATTTGGACTCCAGACCAAAGGACACATTTCCACCGGTCTAATGTCCATTGCTCGTGTTTCTTGGCCCAAGCAGGTCTCTTCTTATTATTGGTGTCCTTTAGTAGTGGTTTGTTTGCAGTAATTTGACAATGAAGGTCTGATTCACACAGTCTCCTCTGAACAGTTGATGTTGAGATGTGTCTGTGACTTCAACTCTGTGAAGCATTTATTTGGGCTGCAATTTCTAAGGCTGGTAACACTAATTAACTTATCCTCTGCAGCAGAGGTAACTCTGGGTCTTCCATTCCTGTGGCAGTCCTCATGAGAGCCAGTTTCATCATAGCGCTTGATGGTTTTTGCGAATGCGCTTGAAGAAACGTTCAAAGTTCTTGAAATGTTCCGTATTGACTGACCTTCATGTCTTAAAGTAATGATGGACTGTCGTTTCTGTTTGCTTATTTGAGCTGTTCTTGCCATAATATGGACTTGGTCTTTTACCAAATATGGCTATCTTCTGTATACCCCCCTACACAACTGATTGGCTCAAACGCAATAAGAAGGAAAGAAATTCCACAAATTAACTTTTAAGAAGGCACACTTGTTAATTGAAATGCATTCCAGATGACTACCTCATGAAGCTGGTTGAGAGAATGCCAAGAGTGTGCAAAGCTGTCATCAAGACAAAGGGTGGCTATGTTAAGAATCTCAAATATAAAATATATTTTGATTTAACACTTTTTTGGTTACTACATGATTCCATATGTGTTTTTTCATAGGTTTGATGTCTTCACTATTATTCTACAATGTAAACAGTTGTACAAATTAAGAAAAACCTTTGAATGAGTAGGTGTGTCCAAACCTTTGACTGGTAGTGTGTTTGCCCATATGTAGAAGTGCTCAGAAAGTGACCTTTTGGACCTGAATGCCCAAACATTCACAAGATAAAGGTGCTAAAAGTTGACCCATTTTACATACCCCACCATACCATGAGACATACATGTCTTTATCACTGGAAAATATAATCGGTTGTGATTGTAAAGGCTTACTAACAGGGTTGTGAAACTATTTTTTAACCTTGAACGTCAAGTATCTAAAAACATTTAAACTTTTTTTTAAAACACAGAGTGCATTCGGAAAGTATTCGGACCCCTTGACTTGTTCCACATTTTGTAACTTTACAGCATTATTCTAAAATTGATTAAATATATTTTTTCCTCATCAATCTACACACAATACCCCATAATGACAAAGCAAAAACAGGATTTTAGAAATTGTTGGACAAAAAATACCTTAATTACATAGGTATTCAGACTCTTTGCTATGAGACTCGAAATTGAGCTCAGGTGCGTTCTGTTTCCATTGATCATCCTTGAGATGTTTTGTACAACTTGATTGGAGTCCACTTGTGGTAAATTAAATTGATTGGACATATGGAAAGGCACATACCTGTCTATATAAGGTCCCACCGTTGACAGTGCATGTCAGAGCAATAACCAAGCCATGAGGTCGAAGGAATTGTCTGTAGAGCTCTGGGGAATGGTACCAAAACATTTATGCAGCATCGAAGGTCCCTAAGAACCCAGTGGGCTTCATCATTCTTAAATGGAAGAAGTTGGAACCACCAAGACTCTTCGTAGAGCCGGCCGCCCGGCCAAACTGAGAAATCGGGGGAGAAGGGCCTTGGTCAGGGAGGTGACCAAGAACCCGATGGTCACTCTGACAGAGCTCCAGAGTTCCTCTGTGGAGATGGGAGAACCTTCCAGAAGGACAACCATCTCTGCAGCACTCCACCAATCAGGCCTTTATGGAGAGTGGCCAGATGGAAGCCACTCCTTGGTAAAAGGCACATGACAGCCCGCTTGGAGTTTGCCCAAAAGGCACTTAAAAGACTCTCAGACCATCTGATGAAACCAAGATTGAACTCTTTTGCCTGAATGCCAAGCGTCACGTCTGGAGGAAACCTGGCACCATCCCTACGGTGAAGCATGGTGGTGGCAGCATCATGCTGTGGGGATGTTTTTCAGCGGCATGGACTGGGAGACTAGTCAGGATTGAGGGAAAGATGAACAGAGCAAAGTACGGAGAGATCCTTGATGAAAACCTGCTCCAGAGCGCTCAGGACCTCAGACTGGGGTGAAGGTTCACCTTCCAACAGGACAACGACCCTAAGCACACAGCCAAGACAACGCAGGAGTGGCTTCGGGACAAGTCTCTGAATGTCCTTGAGTGGCCCAGCCAGAGCCCGGACTTGAACCCGATCGAACATCTCTGAAGAGACCTGAAAATAGCTGTGCAGCGAAGCTCCCCATCCAACCTGACAGAGCATGAGAGGATCTGCAGAGAAGAATGGGAGAAACTTCCCAAATACAGGTGTGCCAAGCTTCTAGCGTCATACCCAAGAAGACTCGAGGCTGTAATCGCTGCCAAAGGTGCTTCAACAAAGCACTGAGTAAAGGGTCTGATGTAAATGTAAGTTTTTATTGTGCAAACATTTCTACCACTCAGTTTTTGCTTTTTCATTATGGGGTATTGTGTGTAGATTGGTGAGGGGGTAAATATTAATTTAATCCATTTTAGAAATAAGGCTGTAACGTAACAAAATTGGAAAAAGTAAAGGGGTCTGAATACTTTCCGAATGCACTGTGTTGTAGCTTAGATCCTATTTTACATAATCTAAGGTTTTTGTGTTGTGCCCGCCATCGGTGCTCTTGAATACAGGGTGGGTGTCATGTTTTGGCTGATAAATGTACCACAATGGGAATAACATTTTATAACTTTCAAATGGTTGGTTGAAGGTCCACACATCAGATAATGTTGGTTTGAATGGGAATATCTGTTTTAAATGATACTGTCAATCCTCCATAGGAAACCTATTGAAATCATAGAAATATAGATCATAGAATAGACATGACCATTTAAGTTGACATTCGACGGTGGATGGACACGCTGTCATCTTTGTGGTAGTAATTAGAAGTAAACATTTCAATTGAATTTAAATTTCAATGGTGTACCAGCTAAATTTCACTGGTCTGAAGGGATTGGTCACTTCTATGAATTGTATTTCTATGATGGAAATTACACCCACCCTGTTTTCAAGAGCATTTTGTCTCAGCCAATGGCGGGTCTCATGGTGGGGTACACAAAATAGGTTAACTTTGAGCGCCTTTATCAACTGAATGTTTTGGCATTCCGGTCCAAAAAGTATCTTTCTGACCACTTCCATGGGCAAACATGTATGGAAAGTTTCCTTTAAATCATATCAAAAAGTGATATAATTCAAAGGTATTGACCCTACTTCCAGATTCATATGATATTGTTAGGGCTAGGATAAAGTTTTTAACTGGTAGGTCTAGTTCTGTCCTCAAGCAAACGAGTGGTCAATAGAGTATATTCTCATGCCACTTTTTACCTCTTGATACTTTAATCATCTCAATGAAGAATCCAATTAGGCTACCACTACTTAGGCATGCGGATTGTCTGTGCACCTCTCCTTTAACTGGGTTATTTCTATGACTTGTTTTGGCAAGCTTAATGGTGATGCACCTGTTTTCTAATGGTTGCCGATATTGTGGAAGTGCCTACAATGGTGTGGCTTGGCACCTTAGTACAAGGATGGCTGGAGGTCAGATAGGTCATGAATATCTCTTAGCCCTAGCTATTTTAGGATGTCTAGAGGGCATTTGTGACTAGCTTAGGGTGTCTATTCTAGGAGTGGCCTAAGTCTACAGGTTGAAAGTAGCATGTCCTTCAAAGATCAATCTGTTGTGCGAAAATGGCTTTTGTTGTCCTGCATCAGCACATTAGTTTCACATCTTTGCTGTCTTGGTTGTAAGTCCTAGACAACTACCTCGCGCTAATCAGTAAGAATTGATTTAGTATAATGGCCATTATGCAATTCCACCCTCCCTCAAATAAAACAAATATATTGGGAAACGTACCAGATTAGATTACGGTGCACTACTCAACCTATTGTCTGTGTCACTTTAATAGAATAACGATGGCATTCTAACGCATGGCAACAAGAGCAGCTGACCAACTCCATGGCTTAGGCCCTACTAGTTCATGTTTTTTCACACTCCTCACTGACACTGAGTGTTGCCCTCCCTGTGTGCATAAGGGGATTGAGGGCAGCCTGCAAAAGCCAACGTAAGGGGCTCTAACCAAGCCAAGAGGATTGCCACACGGCCCTCTGGGATTATCCCTTGCACTCCGCTGGTCAGGACTGGCTTCAGTGCTGTTGCCAGGGGCAACCAATGACACCAGCACCACCAATTGCTTCTACCATGCAGTCAGTGCCTGGTGACTCACCCTTGCTACTGCCAGACATGGCTAAATGAATACCTATCTGACCATTAGACCAAGTAGAGAGAGTCTGACTACAGTAGGCTGTATTACATTTACATTTTAGTCATTTAGCAGACGCTCTTATCCAGAGCGACTTACAGTTAGTGAGTGCATACATAATTTTTTATACTGGCCCCCCATGGGAATCGAACCCACAACCCTGGCGTTGCAAACGCCATGCTCTACCAACTGAGCTACATCCCTGCCGGTCATTCCCTCCCCTACCCTGGACGACGCTGAGCCAATTGTACGCTGCCCCATGGGTCTCCCGGTCGCGGCCGGCTACGACAGAGCCTGGATTCGAACCAGGATCTCTAGTGGCACAGCTAGCGATGCAGTGCCTTAGACCACTGCGCCACAGTACAGAAATTAGCGTTATTGCCATAAAAGAACTGAAATGGGTAGAGCATTCTCTCATACCCTCTGTTGCTTTGCTTCTGTAGCATTCAATGTTATTGCTGCCGGGTTGGCGGACCCATGCCAAATAATTAGGAATAAAGGACCATGTCTTTGGATGAGCTGGTGGTAATGTTATCTTAACTGAGGGTCAGGGGTTAAGTGTTGGTGTGTGGCCAGTCGAATATCCACCGGGATTAGTACAGAGCCCTGGGGGATGCCACACGTTGGCAGCACCAGGTGGCAGACAGCAGGTGACCGCTTCGAGATAATCGGATATCTCAGGTAAATCCAGTCTGTACTGATGGCTGTACTCACATAAATAGCTGCAATCCGTAAAGTGTGTGTTTGAGACTTGAGGAGTGGTATTAGTGCGCTGAGGTGTCACTGTAATCTAGCTCAATGTTTGCACGTGTATTCTCACAGATTGGCAACCCTCGTCACATTAACTCCCCTCCTTTCGCCCCAAAAGTATCTTGAATGTTCATGTGAAAATCACTGTGTGTGTGTGTGTGTGTGGTCATTTCAGCTTTTATTTTTTGATTGTGTACTTTTGTGTTTCAGGATGGGCTGATAGAGCAGATCTATGACCTGATCCTGGAGTACTTCCACTCTCAGGCCTGCTCTATCGGCTTCCCAGAGCTGGCCCTGCCCACCATCATCCAGGTAATACCACCACCTCCTCTAATCTCCACCCCTAGTCAGCTAATGGAACCTCTTCACCATTTGATGCAATGGCATAATATCCATAACCTAAGCCAGGGAAAGGCAACTGGCCCTGGAAGGCAAAAACACTTCAAGTTTTAATTATCTTCTCCTAATCAGGGACTGATTCAGAGTTTCAGACATCAATATGCGGTCTTGTTTTTTTTTTATTCTACACGTTTGGTAAATGGGCAGCTATTTAACATACTAACTAAAACATCTTGAGGTGTTGTTGACTATCAAGTAAAAAAATTATCTTAGCTGCTAGCCCCTCTACGGCAAACACAAGGCTGCAAGAAACTTGACTTGGTCTTATGGTGAGTAGGCCAGATGGAAAAAGAGGGTGAGAGAGAGGGGGATGAAGAGTAAAGTGTGTCTGTGCTGACCTTTAATGGCTCCACCGGCTTGCTGTTGTTTTAACGGCCCTGGCGACCAACCACTGAGCCCACTTCCTGTCAGAGACAGCCAGCAGTGGGTGGGAGGCGAGCTCCTCTACAAGTAATGCCGAAAGACTAACGAAGTCAGAATCTGCCCTCGCCAACGCAAACAACGCATGACTTCTCTTCTTCTACTCCAGTTTTTACTGTTGCTACACACATACACACACACATAAACACACACACACACACACACACGTGAGCGCTGGGCATAAAGTAGCGACAATCCAGAGGGGAAAGACAATTCCAGACTAGGTGATTTTATATAGCGTTTTTCACTCTTTCTCTCTCCCCCCCCCCCTCTCCTTTCTACCTCCTCTCCGCTGCGCCACAGCTGAAAGCGTTCCTGAAGGAATGCAAAGTGGCCAATTACTGCAAGCAGATCCGCCAGCTGCTGGAGAAGGTACAGGAGAACAGCAGCCACATCACAGCCCGTAGACAGAGGGCCGCCTTTGGAGTGGCCGACGCGTCCGCCGTGGTGAGTTTGGCTGTGTGTGTGCCCGCCCGTGAGCAACTGAGCATGTCCGTGCCAGGTCTTCTGGGCTGCTGTTCCAGAGCCCTCATTTCACCTCTTCAACATGCGTGCGCACACCTCTCTTTCCCATCAGTGCCTCTGCTTCCCCCAAAATATAGACATTCACCCAGTACATACATAAGATTTCATGATTAAATTCAATGTTAATTTTGAGATTTTTCAGTAGCCAGCAGGCTAAACTTCTTAAATTATGTGATGGTTCATCAACGGTTGATACTTGAGTTGTGTTGGTTGTTGCATTCCAACTAATTGTTTCAAACACGCACACACAGACACCAGTGTCAGCTGGGGAGCACTCCAAACGACTGCCTAGAGCACTCCCACCTCCTCTTAACCCCCTGTACACCCCGTTCCCAAAACACATACACCATCCTGGGCGAGCTCCCATAGGAAGTGCCTGTGAAGGTCTCCACCAGCCTAGAGCGTTTAACCATCATGTTCCCCCTGACCCTTAACCCCTAGACCCCTCCTGGCTGTGTCTGTTACACACACACAGACAGTGAGGAGATAAGAGCCAAGGCTACACACTTAGCGCCTGCTGCAGTGAACCTGAGTAGGAAGCAGAGGGAAGGATGCTGGAGGAGACATCCCTAGGTGAACACTGGCGTTAGAGGAGGGCTCTGTGGTCATTAGACCCTCCTTTATAGGTTTGAACCAGCCTCACCCCCCCCCCCCCCCCTCATCCCTTGCCTTAATGAGGGGACATTGTTGGAGGTGTGTGTATGCATGGGCAGAAGTGCCATTTCCTGTGTGCGTTTTCTTCTCACCGTATGCACTCTCTACCTGCCCCACCAAACACACACACTCCTCAGGCTGCATTGGTTTGCACCTCCAATCCTGGCTGAGTGCCTCGCCCCACACCCGTGATAAATATTTAAGAGTGAAATTAAAGAGGGGATGTCGCTGTGTGTAGTTTAGTCTTGAAGAAGTGTGTTTGTGTGCGCTTGCTGCGAGAGACTGAGACAGACAGCTTGGCACCGGGGGCTGCGCCTGTCGCCACGGCTCCCAGCCCAGAGGAGCCTGTCGCCATGGCATCCGTCCCCATGCTGCACGGCAACCATGTTGCCGGGTAGAGGCCAGCCCCCTTTCCGGCTGCCGTGGAAAGGCCATCACTCCCCTCTGGCCCCAGACACCCAAACGCAGATCACATTTGAATGGGCCTCCGCTGAAGCCTAAATAGCTTTTTTCTTGGTAGGTCTATGCTTTCTTAACAATTTTGAGCAAAATGTTTTTGCCATCTTCTAGAGTAGTTAGGCTAGGTGTGAGAGAACAGCGGAGCCTAAATCTCAACCCTAATCCGATAGCATTGTTTTGTCTGGGTTTTAAGTGTTTTCAAAAGCCCTGGGTCTTTCTGTTCACGTCCTGTCCTCTCCTCTTTGTTCTGGGGCCCAGCCTAATAACCGCCATTGTAAATTGTCGTAAATAGGTTTAGCTAACCGACGAAGGAAGCTGCGGTCTATACGGTCTATTGGATTTGGAGGTCAGATAATCCTATTGGGCCTGATCAATGCCATCAGCAAAGACCTTTAGGGGAAGGGCTGGCGTAGATCGTCCAGTCTCCTCTTTCAGCTTCTCTTCTCGCTCTGTCTCTCTCTCGCTCTGTCTCGCTCTGTCTCTCTCTCGCTGTCTCTCGCTCTGTCTCTCTCTCGCTCTGTCTCTCTCTCGCTCTGTCTCTCTCGCTCTCTCGTCGTCTCCTCTGCTCTCTCGCTTGCTCTCTCGCTCTGTCTCTCTCGCTCTGTCTCTCTCTGCTCTGTCTCTCTCGCTCTGTCTCTCTCCGTCTCTCTCGCTCGCTCTCTCGCTCTGTCTCTCTCGCTTTCTCTCTCGCTCTCTCGCTCTCTCCTCGCTCTGTCTCTCCTCTCGCTCTCTGCTCTGTCTCCTCTCGCTCTCGCTCTTCTCTCTCGCTCTGTCTCTCTCGCTCTCGCTCTCTCTCTCGCTTCTGTCTCTCGCTCTCTCTCGCTCTGTCTCTCTCGCTCTCTCTCGCTCTGTCTCTCTCGCTCTGCTCCTCTTCCTCTGCTCTCTCTCGCTCTGTCGCTCTCTCGCTCTGTCTCTCGCTCGCTCTCTGTCTCTCTCGCTTCTCGCTCTGTCCTCTCTCGCTCTCGCTCTGTCTCTCTCGCTCTCGCTCTCTCTCTCGCTCTGTCTCTCTCGCTCTGTCTCTCTCGCTCTGTCTCTCTCGCTCTGTCTCTCTCGCTCTGTCTCTCTCGCTGTCTCTCTCGCTCTGTCGCTCTCGCTCTCGCTCTGTCTCTCTCGCTCTCGCTCTGTCTCTCTGTCTCTCGCTCTGTCTCTCTCGCTCTCGCTCTGTCTCTCTCGCTCTCGCTCTGTCTCTCTCGCTCTCGCTCTGTCTCTCTCGCTCTCGCTCTGTCTCTCTCGCTCTGTCTCTCTCGCTCTCGCTCTGTCTCTCTCGCTCTGTCTCTCTCGCTCTGTCTCGCTATGTCTCTCTCTCGCTATGTCTCTCTCTCTCTCTGTTTCTCTCGCTCGCGCTCGCTCTGTCTCTCTCTCTCTCTGTGTTTCTCCCCTTGTCAATAGCAAATAATGTTTGAAATCTACACTGAACAAAAATATAAATGCAACATGCAACCATTTCAAAGATTTTACAGAGTTACAGTCAATTGAAATAAATAAATTAGGCCCTGATCTATGAATTTCATATGACTTGGAATACAGATATGCATATGTTGGTCACATATACCTTAAAAATAAAAAAAAAGTAGGGGCGTGGATCAGAAGACCAGTCTATCTGGTGTGCCCACCATTTGCCTCATGCAGCGCTACGCATAGAGTCGATCAGGCTGTTGATTGTGGCCTGTGGAATGTTGTCCCACTCTTCTTCAGATCCTTGCGACATGGGGCCGTACATTATCATGCTGAAAAATGAGGTAATGGCGGCGGATGAATGGCATGACAATGGGCCTTAGGGTCTCGTCACGATATCTCTGTGCATTCAAATTACCATAAATAAAATGCAAGTAGGTTTCTTCTAGGTAGTGTTAGCTAGCGCTAGACGGCTGTACCTGCGCCAAAACGCCTGTATTTTTCATCCAATAGCTTGTTCGCCATCTTCTTTTTAAATGGTGAGCCAACAAGTTTTAAGGACTTTATTTCCATGACTGATCAAAACTAGTTTTCTCATGCTCTGTCTCTCTGCAGCAGACATAAAGTGAGCAATATGTTTGGAATATCAAATTGCAATAAAATCGCAGCATCGCAATGCGATACACATAGAATCGTGAGAATCGCAATACATATCGCGTTGAGTATTGTGATAATATCGTATCGTGAGGTCCCTGGCAATTCCCAGCCATAACACACACAAACAAATACGGAGTGGATATGTAACAAGTGTGTTTCATGATTGTGTGTGCCTGGTGGGCAGGCGAAGTGGGAGAAGCAGACTGCGGAGGAGGGGACGCCCCTCACCAGGTACTACAGCCAGTGGAAGAAGCTAAGGGAGAAGGAGATCCAGCTGGAGATATCTGGGAAGGAGAGGGTAACTATCAGACGCACATACCAACTGTTTTAGACTTCAAAGATGAAAGTATTTTCAGGGCATTCATCCAAATTCAACAAACGTCTCCATCCTATTTTACGAATGATACAAGTAACTTGGAAGGTTTGAGTAAGATAATGCATTGTCAGTGGGAGATTGGTGGAAATGTTCAAGGTTGCATGCAAACATTTTTGAAGAATATGACCTTTTTTATTAGTTTTCGATGATTTTTCAATGGGGTCAGTTCTCTACAGTTAGTGGTTTTAGAAAAGAAACTGAGATGTAGGCCTAATTTAATTGACAGAAGATCTCTCAATGTGGCTCCAGGCTTCCGTCTGGGGAGTGTTAACCCTAAATGTTTGTAAAGTGTTTTGTAAGTGACTTTGATGAATGTTCTGAATCTTGAGATCTTGAGCAATGGTCTCATTGTCATATGGTCCCAAATCACCTGTTTTGACAATAGGTTTTCCATAACACTATATTTTGAAATGGAACTGCATATTAACATTTCCTCTCTCATTTAAGATGGAAGACTTGGACCTCCCTGAGATCAAACGCAGGAAGATTCAGGAGAAGAAAGCGGTGGACAAGAAGGAGTTCAAGGATCTCTTTGAGTCCGACAGCGACTCAGACGACGACGGAGGACTCAAAGTCAAAGGTAACCCTATTTACATTGGAAGGATAACATTCCGAAACGGGGAGGGATGACTTGTCCCTGTCCATTAAGAAACAGTAATTTTGGTTTCCTGCTGCAAAATAATTCCCAAAGCGTGACCATAACGACCCTGAACCAGCGTTAACGCAGTTCGGCAATTGTGTCTCAAGGCCTTGCACAGGGATCTCAAAGTCTCAGAATTAGCTATATTTGAATTCCAATTCCAATTGCCTGACAAATCTCTTGATCTGCAGGCACTGTCTGACTACATTTCCTGTTAGAGCTGGCCAGTAAATAAAGACTGCTTGAAGGTCCTATGCTATGCATGTCTTGGCCACTAGGAGGCTGTATTGAGTTGCACAGAGACCATCTACAGCAGGGATCATCAACCAGATTTAGCCATGGTACGATGTTTTTCTTGAGCGGATGGTCCGTGGGCCGGAACATAATTACAAATAATTTGTAGACTGCAAATTAACCGGAACAGGCCCAAACAGATATGTTTGACTAAAACATAATCATTTTTTATACCAGTTGTGGAACCCTGATCTACAGACTGTTGGCCAACAGCACATAAGCACAGTCTCTAACACACACTCATACACTGTAGTAGACTATTGAGCGCCTTTATGGCAAGGATACAGCTCCTCTTCCCTTTCCGGGATGAACATTTGGCTCATTCTGAGGGAATGTACAACTGGCCTTACTGTAGCCATGCTGCTCTCCCAGCAAAACATGCTCTGTCCAATTAGTTGGAGTCTACTTCTCTCTCTCCTATGTTTCCCTTTCTCCTATATTTTGTTCTCTCTATCCTTCTATATTTCCCTCTCCCTTTCTTTCTCCTATATTTCTTTCTCTCCCTATCCTTCTATATTTCTCACCCTTCAGCTGAGTGCAGCTGTCACTCCTGTCTTCCTTTAAGCCCTGTGTGTCTGGACCTCTGCTATGGGTCATCCACAGGACACGGGCAGGGCAGGAGTCCTCTTTTACAGCTTTACAGTTGGACACGCTCGACGGAGGGAAAAAACCTTAGAGGTCGGAAGGAGAGAGTGAGGGGGCGGTAGGGGATTTTTTTTCATCTGGTCCTCATTGTAGGGAGAGTCTCCGCAAATGGGCGGGCAGCTGCCGGCGAGCCACCAGCCCACCTCGCCCCAACGGCCCGTCCCGTTGCTCTCTCACAGGAAGCACAGGCATGGATCCCGGTGGGGGTTCCTAATTCAAACCAGCCCACTGGAACAGCCAGAGGTGTCCGCTCCCCAGTACTTCCCCCTCTGCTTCCCTCCAGCTCACAATGCTTAACTGGCTGCCCCCGCATTTCCTCCGCATACACAAACCAACCCACCCTCCAGCCCTTGACAACCTTCCAACCTTTGGGCAGCTTACTAAACTGTGGTTGGTTGAAGTCTGCTGAGATGCCCCAGTGGTGGAGAGGAGGAAAGTGTGAGGGGAGAAGAAGACTGGTTTCTATGAATGTGTCTAGTTGTTATTGTGGGGGTGTTAAGTCCTCCAGGTCGTATGGGGGCAGACGGGCATGTAGATCCTGCTGTCCCTCACAACCCCAGTCTAGGTCGCAAATATACAGGTTAAGACGAGGATTCTAATATCCCATAACTCTTTGCATACATGCGGAAGAATTCTAAACCATGGGACCAGAAATGCGAACGAAAATTACTGGAAGTGAATGTTAGCAGTACATGGAAAATAAACACAATCGTAGTGAAGTTCAGCAAACACATAGCATAACTTTTCCTGTCATTCTATTCATTTAAACATTTTTTAAATTATCTACATCCACTTTATTTATTTCCAGACTGCTGGTCACATTTTCAATCCTTATCCTGTAGAATCAGCAACGGCGCTGGTCCCATTAATTTTTGTTTCTTTTTGAACGCTTCCGCATGGAATTATTACTTTGTCATAACCTGTATATTTTCGACCTCAACCCCAGTCAGGATGTGTGTGTGTGTGTCAGGGTTTCTGTTAGCCCGTAATAGCCGACTTTTGGACGATAATAAAGCAGATAAATAAAATCTCAGCCTGCAAATTGTCTGGGAGAAGAATAAAAAAATGCCTTTGCGAAATAATGCTTTTTAGCCTATTCGTTGATGGAAATACCAATTGATGTAAATACATTTGACTGGTCATTCTTATCGGTCATTCTAGGTAGCTCACTGTGTATCTGTGTGTGTGTGTGTGTGTGTGTGTGGTCAATACGCTCTTAGTAGTAAGTGTTGGATAGTGTGGCAATTGAAGTGTCTGTGCCTCTCTCTCCTCTCCTGGCTACCAGCATCTCATCAAACCCTACTTTAAAGCTCAGGGACCACTCTGCAGTGGCCTCTGCTACACACACACACACACACACACACACATACAGGATAGACTCGCCCATTTTACAGAAGGAATTTGTAGCTGTCTGAAGTGAAGCCTGCCTGCTATCTCCATTTTATATATTTAGGCAGCGACTGAGTGTAAGATGTGTGAAATTGGCTGTGGTAAACTGTCATGAGTAATGTATTCTCAGCTCCATCACCATGCAGGTAATAGGCAATTCCAAGGTGGTTAGATGCTACCTACCTGCCTGCATGTACACATTTCTGGGCCCATATTCATAAAGCATCTCAAGAGTACGCGAGCCTGATCTAGGATCATGTCTCTGTTCATGTAAACGTATTAATTATGATCCAAAATGAAAACTGATCACATATCAGGACTCATACTTTGAGATGCTTTATTAAAAGGATGCTTCAGGATTTTGGCAATTAAGCCCTTTGTCTACTTTCGCAGAGTAAGTTGAACTTGTGGATACCATTTTTATGCAGTTTGAATGAAGTTGCTAACTAGCGTTAGCGCAATTGCTAATTAGCGTAAGCACAATGACTGGAAGTCTATGGTAACTGCTAGCATTCAAGTAGATATGATAAACTTCCAGTCATTGTGCTAACGCTAGTTAGCATTGGCTCGCGAAACTAACTTCCTTCATACTGGATGCAGATACATAAAAATGGTATCCACGAGTTCATCTGACTCTGGGGAAGTAGATAAATGTCTGCATTGACAAAATCCCGAATGATCCCTTTAGTACAGCCTTAAAGTGTTCCACTACCTAAGTGTATAATATTACAACCAATCTTTACAAAATGGTGCATCTGAGTCAGGGTTTCTGGTAGCCGGTAATAGCCGGCTTTTGTCTGATAAAATAAATAGAAAAGCCGCTAAATAAAATTGGTGTCGGCCAATTGTCCGGGAGAAGAAGAAAAAATCCCATTGCGATATAATGCTTTTTATCCTCTTCATTGATGGAAATACCAGTCGATGGAAATTCATTTCACTGGTCATACTTATTGGTCAAAGGTTTATTTGCATAATTTAGTGGAATTATATTGGCGCATGTGTACAGTATATTCACTATGTATCTTATTTATCACACGCGTACAGCAGGGTTCCCCAACTGGTGGCCCGCAGTGGTTTTATTTGGCCCCCCAAGTTTTCGGAGCAATTTTCTTATTTTAATTAATTTTATTGTGTGACATAATAGACTAAAAACACCAGGAAATCAGCTCCATGTAATTTTAATTTAAGAAATCTGTTCCCAAGTATTCCCACGCATAATAGAGGGACATGTGATCGTATACAAATGTAAGCAAGGTTTGAAATTATTATGTTTTAGTCAAACATATACACTATCTGTTTGGGCTTCTTGAGGTCAGTTTGCTATCTACAAATTATTTTAATTATGTTCTGGCCCCGCGACCATCAGCTGAAGAAGAGATCGGCCCGCGGCTGAATCTAGTTGATGATCCCTGGCGTACAGATACAGAGCCTTTGAGTGGAAAATCTGTCAGACAGTACCAGAGATGCTGCTGCTGCTGCAGCATCTTGTGGTGCTTTCTAGACAACTGGGAACTCAGAAAAGTAGGTTGGTCGGAGCTCTAGAAAGAAGCCAGAGTTGGAATGCCGAGTTGGATGACCGTTCAAAACGATTTTTTTCCAGTCGGAGATAGTCCCCGTCCCCCCCAGTTGAGATTTCTGAGTTCCCAGTTGTTTTGAACGCGACATCAAATGGCAAGGGAAGGCAGGCTTTATCAACGCGTCACACACCACTTTGCAATGAGCTGGAGGCAGTATGCATTTTGAAAACACACTTAATTGTTTGAAACCTGAACGTTTTAATACATATTATGAGGCATGTCTTTCCTTGCTTAAAAGTAGCCTATTAGAACTTCTGTCTTTCAAAATGTATATTTTCATCTGTCGCATGAAACCAATCGCATGTGCAATGCCTTTTTGACAATGGCGTTTTCCCACTAATTGCATTAAGGAACGAACATTTGTGTTTAGTCTACTGCCTTATGTGCATTTCTGCGCTTATAATGTTGAAGAAATAATAGTTTATCAACATTTATCTAAACGTTCTGATCTGTTGCATCAGATTCATTGCATTCTTTTACATATATATATGTTTTTAATGTAGCCTAGGCCCATTGGTTGTATGAATTTGGGATCTATCGTCCCACAACTGTCCCAGAGTCTGTTTGGAATAGGCTATTTCTTTTTCGACAAACTGACCAATAGAATAGGTAGCCTAAACTTTTCTAGTAGATTGATAAAGACTAGCGATTTTGCTGTTCATTACTCGTCTTGTTGTCTGAGAAAAAGTAAATGTGGACAGTTATTCTAACATGTTCAAAGTGCCCATCAGAATACGTTGGAAGGACCGCACGTCATTGAATCCTCGACTTCCATGTTCTGTTAATATGAATAACCATATTCTAAATGTGATTTCTGTCATTCTGATCATTGTGGGTGTACAACCAAATCAGGTTACGCACCCAGTGCATATGGGTCCGGTAAATCTAAATGTTTTTGGTCAAATGTCCGGTGGCACATTTTCCTTATGGAATCCCTGATCTGAGTAAAACAAAGTCAAAGCTAATGAGTATTCACTGGTACTTCATATTCTATTTCTCTTTCTTCTTGTCAGACAAAAAGGGAGGATCTGACGACGATGATGACGATGATGCTGATCTTCTTCAAGAGCTGTCTGACCTGAGTGATGATGAGGGGGTGGGGGAAGAACATGATGGTGTCTCAGGTTTGTGGACTGACAAATATGTGCTTTTCACACTACTGAACTCAACCAAGCCGAGCTGTACTGGGCTGGCCTGGTTACGCATCCACTGTAGTTTCTGGAACCGTGGTTGGAAAGGCTAATGTGAAAATTTAACATGCAAGCCAACACAGTACGGTTCGGTTCAGGTCTGCACACTAGTGTGAGTATTAGATGCCTGGTCCAGAATTTAACACCAGCCTCCTTTTTCTTTTTTTTATTTCACCTTTATTTAACCAGGTAAGCCAGTTGAGAACAGGTTCTCATTTACAACTGCGACCTGGCCAAGATAAAGCAAAGTAGTGCAATAAAAACAACACAGAGTTACATATGGGGTAAAAAACATAAAGTCAGAAATACAACAGAAAATATATATACAGTGTGTGCAAATGTAGCAAGTTATGGAGGTAAGGCAATAAATAGGCTATAGTGCAGAATAATTACAATAGTATTAACACTGGAATGCTAGATGTGCAAGAGATTATGTGCAAATAGAGATACTGGGGTGCAAAAGAGCAAAATAAATAACAATATAGGGATGAGGTAGTTGGGTGGGCTAATTTCAGATGGGCTGTGTACAGGTGCAGTGATCGGTAAGGTGCTCTGACAACTGATGCTTAAAGTTAGTGAGGGAGATAAGAGTCTCCAGCTTCAGAGATTTTTGCAATTCGTTCCAGTCATTGGCAGCAGAGAACTGGAAGGAATGGCGGCCAAAGGAGGTGTTGGCTTTGGGAATGACCAGTGAGATATACCTGCTGGAGCGCAGACTACGGGTGGGTGCTGCTATGGTGACCAATGAGCTAAGATAAGGCGGGGATTTGCCTAGCAGTGATTTATAGATGGCCTGGAGCCAGTGGGTTTGACGACGAACATGTAGTGAGGACCAGCCAACAAGAGCGTACAGGTCACAGTGGTGGGTAGTGTATGGGGCTTTGGAGACAAAACGGATGGCACTGTGATAGACTACATCCAATTTGCTGAGTAGAGTGTTGGAGGCTATTTTGTAAATTACATCGCCGAAGTCAAGGATCGGTAGGATAGTCAGTTTTACGAGGGCATGTTTGGCAGCATGAGTGAAGGAGGCTTTGTTGCGAAATAGGAAGCCGATTCTAGATTTAACTTTGGATTGGAGATTCTTTATGTGAGTTTGGAAGTTGAGTTTACAGTCTAACCAGACACCTAGGTATTTGTAGTTGTCCACATACTCTAGGTCAGACCCGTCGAGAGTGGTGATTCTAGTCGGGTGGGCGGGTGCCAGCAGCGTTCGATTGAAAAGCATGCATTTAGTTTTACTAGTGTTTAAGAGCAGTTGGAGGCTACTGAAGGATTGTTGTATGGCATTGAAGCTCGTTTGGAGGTTTGTTAACACAGTGTCCAATGAAGTGCCAGATGTATACAAAATGGTGTCGTCTGCGTAGAGGTGGATCTGAGAGTCACCAGCAGCAAGAGCGACATCATTGATATACACGGAGAAAAGTGTCGGCCCAAGAATTGAACCCTGTGGCACCCCCATAGAGACTGCCATAGGTCCAGACAACAGGCCCTCCGATTTGACACACTGAACTCTATCTGAGAAGTAGTTGGTGAACCAGGCGAGGCAGTCATTTGAGAAACCAAGGCTATTTAGTCTGCCAATAAGAATGCGGTGGTTGACAGAGTCGAAAGCCTTGGCCAGGTCGATGAAGACGGCTGCACAGTACTGTCTATTATCAATCGCGGTTATAATATCGTTTAGGACCTTGAGCGTGGCTGAAGTGCACCCGTGACCAGCTCGGAAACCGGATTGCATAGCGGAGAAGGTACGGTGGTATTCGAAATGGTCGATGATCTGTTTGTTAACTTGGCTTTCGAATACTTTCGAAAGGCAGGGCAGGATGGATATAGGTCTGTAGCAGTTTGGATCTAGAGTGTCACCCCCTTTGAAGAGGGGGATGACCGCGGCAGCTTTCCAATCTCTGGGGATCTCAGACGTTATGAAAGAGAGGTTGAACAGACTAGTAATAGGGGTAGCGACAATTTCGGCGGCTAGTTTTAGAAAGAAAGGGTCCAGATTGTCTAGCCCAGCTGATTTGTAGGGGTCCAGATTTTGCAGCGCTTTCAAAACATCAGCTGTCTGAATTTGTGTGAAGGAGAAGCGGGGGGGGGGGCATGGGCAAGTTGCAGCAGAGGGTGCAGAGTTGGTGGCCTGGTTAGTGGTAGCCAGATGGAAAGCATGGCCAGCTGTAGCAAAATGCTTGTTGAAATTCTCGATTATTGTAGATTTATCGGTGGTGATAGTGTTTCCTAGCCTCAGTGCAGTGGGCAGCTGGGAGGAAGTGCTCTTATTCTCCATGGACTTTACAGTGTCCCAAAACTTTTTGGAGTTAGTGCTACAGGATGCAAATTTCTGTTTGAAAAAGTTAGCCTTTGCTTTCCTGACTGCTTGTGTATATTGGTTCCTAACTTCCCTGAAAAGTTGCATATCGCGGGGGCTATTTGATGCTAATGCTGTACGCCACAGGATGTTTTTGTGCTGGTCAAGGGCAGTCAAGTCTGAGGAGAACCAGGGGCTATATCGGTTCTTAGTTCTGTATTTTTTGAATGGGGCATGTTTATTTAAGATTGAGAGGAAATTACTTTTAAGGAACAACCAGGCATCCTCTACTGACGGAATGAGATCTATATCCATCCAGGATACCTGGGCCAGGTCAATTAGGAAGGCCTCCTCGCTAAAGTGTTTTAGGGAGCGTTTGACAGTGATGAGGGGTGGTCGTTTGACCGCGGACCCGTTACGGACGCAGGCAATAAGGCAGTGATCGCTGAGATCCTGGTTAAAGACAGCTGAGGTGTATTTAGAGGGTATGTTAGTCAGGATGATATCTATGAGGGTACCCATGTTTACGGATTTAGGGTTGTACCTGGTATGTTCGTTGATAATTTGCGTTGAGGTTGAGGGCATCTAGCTTGGATTGTAGGATGGCCGGGGTATTAAGCATATCCCAATTTAGGTCACCAAGCAGTACAAACTCTGAGGATAAATGGGGGGCAATCAATTCACATATGGTGTCCAGGGCACAGCTGGGGGCTGAGGGGGGTCTGTAGCAAGCGGCAACAGTGAGAGACTTATTTCTGGAAAGGTGGATTTTTAGAAGTAGAAGCTCAAACTGTTTGGGCACAGACCTGGATAGTATGATAGAGCTCTGCAGGCTATCTCTACAGTAGATTGCAACTCCACCCCCTTTGGCAGTTCTATCTAGACGGAAAATGTTATAGTTGGGGATGGAAATTTCAGAATTTTTGGTGGCCTTCCTGAGCCAGGATTCAGACACTGCTAGAACATCAGGGTTGGCAGAGTGTGCTAACGCAGTGAATAACTCAAACTTAGGAAGTAGACTTCTGATATTTATGTGCAAGAAACCAAGACTTTTGCGATTACAGAAGTCATCAAATGATAGTGCCTGGGGAGTAGGAGTGATACTGAGGGCTGCAGGGCCTGGGTTAGCCTCTACATCACCAGAGGAACAGAGGAGGACTAGAATAAGGATACGGCTAAAGGCTTTAAGAACTGGTCTTCTAGTGCGTTGGGTACATAGAATAAAGGGGGCAGATTTCCGGGTGTTATAGAAAAGATTCAGGGCATTATGTACAGACAAGGATATGGAAGGATATGAGTAAAGTGGTGGTAAACCTAAGCGTTGGGTAACAATGAAAGAGATAGCATCGCTGGAGGCATCAATTGAGTCGGTCTCCGCGTGTATTGGGGGAGGGGCAAAGGAGCTATCTAAGGCAGGTTTAGCTAGGCTGGGGGGTCTACAGTGATATAGTACAATTAGAAATAACCGAAACAACAATAAACTAACCATGTTTGGGCTGAGGCTAAACATAAACAGGATGTAGTACCGTAAAAAGGAACAGTCCAGCAGATATCAGCTGTATAGCTGAGTTATCATAAGGTCCGGTGGTGAAGTACTAGTGAGTAAGAGGCCACGGCTAGCGTGTGCTAGCGGGCCAGGGCTAGCAGATGGATGGAATCTTCGTGGTTAACGTCGTAACCACATCAGACGATTTCGTCGGCAGACCAGTCGTGTAGGATCGGCGGGGCTCCGTGTCAACACTAGGTGGTCCCGTCCGGTTGACAGAGAGGTAGATAGCCGGGAGATGGGCCTAGCTCAGGATGATTAGCCAGACCACAGCGTCCGTTTTGTTGTAGCTAGCTGGCAGGTTTAGCTAGGCTGGGGGGGTCGTAAAAAGGAACAGTCCAGCAGATATCAGCTGTATAGCTGAGTTATCATAAGGTCCAGTGGTGAAGTACTAGTGACTAAGAGGCCACGGCTAGCGTGTGCTAGCGGGCCAGGGCTAGCAGATGGATGGAATCTTCGTGGTTAACGTCGTAACCACATCAGACGATTTCGCCGGCAGACCAGTCGTGTAGGATCGGCGGGGCTCCGTGTCAACACTAGGTGGTCCCGTCCGGTTGACAGAGAGGTAGATAGCCGGGAGATGGGCCTAGCTCAGGATGATTAGCCAGACCACAGCGTCCGTTTTGTTGTAGCTAGCTGGCAGGTTTAGCTAGGCTGGGGGGGTCGTAAAAAGGAACAGTCCAGCAGATATCAGCTGTATAGCTGAGTTATCATAAGGTCCAGTGGTGAAGTACTAGTGACTAAGAGGCCACGGCTAGCGTGTGCTAGCGGGCCAGGGCTAGCAGATGGATGGAATCTTCGTGGTTAACGTCGTAACCACATCAGACGATTTCGTCGGCAGACCAGTCGTGTAGGATCGGCGGGGCTCCGTGTCAACACTAGGTGGTCCCGTCCGGTTGACAGAGAGGTAGATAGCCGGGAGATGGGCCTAGCTCAGGATGATTAGCCAGACCACAGCGTCCGTTTTGTTGTAGCTAGCTGGTAGCGACGAATCCGGAGTTAAAGGTTCAGTGATTCCGGCGGAAAAACTGATATGTTCTGGGTCGATAACGCGCTGTGCAGACTGGCCGAATATCCGGTGATCAATGTCCAGTGATTAAAATTAATCCCGCAGAAAAAATCCAATGTTCTGGGTGAAACACCGCTAGCTGTGGCTAATCGCAAGTAGCTAGTTAGCTGGCTAGCTAGTTTCAACTGGAGATTCTAGATAAAGGTAAGTCAATAATAGAATCCGTTCCACATTGAGTGAGGCGGGTTGCAGGAAAGTATATCTTGTAGAAGGATGAAAAGTCTGATAGGGAAATATGTACGAAAAATAGGGTATTTACAGGCTATTTACAGACATTTACAGACATACGATAAAAACACAACTGCACTACTCCGCCATCTTGGAAATCCTACCACTTTTGAATTGGCAGATCTGTAGGGAATATGATAAGATGTAATCAAAATGGCGATGGCTCCACCTAGCCTTCCAATTGAACTGAACTGAGGGGAGCTTCCAACATATTGTTCATTCCATCATAAGGAAACCTGCCATATTCTCCACTCAACCCCATTTTGGGCAGAACTAACCCCCATCATATTTCAGACCAAGCAATTTGCATCCATTGCTGCCTGATATTGCCTTGGGGAGATCTTGTGGTGCGATTAGTTTTCTACATGTTTAAAATGATCGTATAACATCAGTATGAAAACAAAAAATAATTAAAACTTGCAGTGTTCCAGACATTGATCACTCCTACTTAAGGGGCAATCAGAGATTGGTACATAGGCCCACATTTTTTGACTGGCATTGTTGTTTGAATCCCAGATTTCCCCTTTAAATGAATCCATCCTTCATGCTCTTCCTTCCCCTGTCTCTATAGATGATGATGATGATGATGATAATGGTGGTGATGATGGTGATGATGAAGAGGGGGCTAAAGCCTCCAAGGCACCCAAGCAGCTGTCTAGCGTGGCTCTGAAAGAGTTGGCAGAGGGAGACGAGGACTTGGTGGAAGACCTGGAGCTCTCTGACCAGGACTGAGACAGACACACACACTGACGCATGCATGCACACACACACACACACACACACACACAGGCCCGTGCGTAAACACACAGAAACACACACTAAAACATGTGCATACACACACACACACACACACACACACAACGATTGGGGGTGGAGAGGAGAAGTGTTGGTTTGTAGCTCCTCATCTTTCCATACTTTCAATCATTACTGCTTTCCCTGTGGACTCCTTTCTACTATATTTTGTTTTAGTTTGCTCCATCAATGTGTACAGTTCAAACATGTTCTTAATGTAATTGCACATTAAAAAACTGACCATGCAATTGTACAAACTATAAAATGATTCCTAGACCTATATGTTTGTTTCTTAGGGAGATACCCTACTGATGTATTTATGCATTGTTCATTTCAGTGTACAGGATTGTGAATTAACAAGTGTGGTGGGTTGTAGCCAATAAGTGTGTGCGTGCGTGTGTGTGAGTACATAAGCACCTGTGTTCCACTGTTTGAACTTGGGATTCCCGTGCGTTTACTAGGATTGCCTTTAGTAAAGGCTGTTTGTTAGAAGAAAGGGCTTGACTATACTGTAGCTGTGCTGTCCTATGGTGGGCTGTACCAGGCTGTGCTGGGTATGGGGGAGGGGTTCCAGCCCCAGGGCAGCAGTGTGCCAGGCGGCCACGGCCATGTCTGATGCTGTGCCAGTCTTCTCTGCCCAGGTGGTGAAGCAGGAACACAGACTGTGCCTGTTTCCTTGCCAACTAACCCTCCCCCCCCAACCACACACACACTTTGCTACCTTTCTTCATCCTCCCGTTCTCCCCCATCACTACATTTTTCCTTCCCTCGTCCTTCCTCTGCTTCTTCAGACTGCCTCTATCATTACTCCTCTCCTTCCTCCCTCTCTTCTTCCTTCTGGTAGTGAGTGTATCAATGGTAACATTGGTACAGAACTACGAATGCCATCCATTAACAACCCCTAGGCACTTGTGTAGATCTGAAAGGACTGAGTAGGTATGAGCAATATGGCTCAAATTCAACCTAGAGCCTAGCAGCAAGAAAGAATTGATGCTGCAAAAATTGTCTCTTGGTTTTCTACTCATGCTTTCTTTAAAAAAAAAAAAACTTGACAAAATATCTAATCTTTTTTGCAGTGCATCTATAAGACCTTTTTAAAGGTTGTGTGCATACCTGGGTTTCCATTAGGAAAATGTGGCGTCCGACATTTGATCAACAGCATTTTAATTTACTGGACATTTGAAACATTTACCGGACCCATATGCATTGGATGAGTAACCTGATTAGGAAGTCCACCCACGTTGCTCAGAATGACAAATCACATTTAGATTATGGTAATTAATATTAACAGAACATGCAAGTGGAGGATGCAGCAATGTGTGGTCTTTCTTACCAAATTCTCATGCCCACTTTGAAGATGTTAGAATAACTGTTGACATTTACTTTTCCTCAGCCAACAAGATGACTAACGGACAGCAAAATCACTAGCCTATGTCAATCTACAATCCCCCATAGTAGAGAAGTTGATCTATTCTATTGGTCAGCTTGTCTTGAAAGAAATAGCCTATCCCAAACAGATCAGGCTGTTTAGCTTATTGATAAACTATTTATTCACATAAGTGCAGCAATGCCCACAAGACAGTAGGCTACGCGCCAATGTAAATTCCATAATGCAATTAATCGGAAAACACCATTAGCCTATCAAAGCGCACCCCACATGCTAGCGTTTTCATGTGACAGATGAAAATATTTGTTAGAAATTTAGAAAGAGGTTAGATCTAACATGCAACAACTAGCATGGGTTGCTAATATGACTAGGATTGTGCCTTTGGCTAGGCCTACTGGACAATGAAAAAGTTGTACATATACTGAACAAAAATATAAATGCAACATGTAAAGTGTTGGTCCCATGTTTCATGAGCTGGAATGAAAGCTCCCAGAAATATTCCATATGCACAAAAAGCCTATTTCTCTCATTTTGTGCACAAATGTGTTTACATCCCTGTTAGTGAGCATTTCTCCTTTGCCAAGATAATCCATCCACCTGATAGGTGTGGCATATCAAGAAGCTGATTGAACAGCATGATCATTACACAGGTGCACCTTGTGCTGGGGACAATAAAATGCCACTCTACAATTTGCAGTTTTGTCACAACACAATGCCAAGTGTTGAGGGAGTGTGCAATTGGCATGCTGACTGCAGGAATGTCCACCAGAGCTGTTGCTAGAGAATGGAATGTTCATTTCTCTACCATAAGCCGCCTCCAACGCTGTTTTAGAGAATTTGGCAGTACATCCAACCGGCCTCACAACCGCAGACCACGTGTATGGCGTCGTGTGGCCGAGCGGTTTGCGGATGTCAACGTTGTGAACCGAGTGCCCCATGGTGGCAGTGTGGTTATGGTATGGGCAGGCAAAGGCTACGGACAATGAACACAATTGCATTTTATCTATGGCAATTTGAATGCACAGAGCTACCGTGACAAGGTCCTGGGGCCCATTTATCGTGCCTTTCATCTGCCGCCATCACCTCGTGTTTCAGCATGATATTGCACGGCCTCATGTCGCAAGGATCTGTACACAATTCCTGGAAGCTCAAAATGTCCCAGTTCTTCCATGGCCTGCGTACTCATCAGCCACCCATTGAGCATGTTTGGGATGTTCTGGATCGACTTGCGTGACAGCCTGTTCCAGTTCCCGCCATTATCCAGCCACTTCGCACAGCCATTGAAGAGGAGTGGGACAACATTCCACAGGCCACAATCAACAGCCTGATCAACTCTATGCGAAGGAGATGTCGAGCTGCATGAGGCAAATGGTGGTCACACCAGATACTGACTGGTTTTCTGATCCAAGCCCCTACTTTTTTTTTTTAAGGTATCTGTGACCAACGGATGCATATCTGTATTCCCAGTAATGTGAACTCCATAGAATAGGGCCTAATTAATTGACTGATTTCCTTATATGAACTGTAACTCAGTAAAATCTTTGAAATTGTTGCATGCTGCATTTATATTTTTGTTCAGTATAAAATAATTGCCTCCACGGATATTGGTCAGATTTCAAACAATTAAGTAACGTTACATATTTTGAAAATGCAAACTGCCTCCAGCTCATTGCAAAGTGGTGTGTGACGCGCTGATGAAGCCTGCCATCCGTTTGCTGCATTTGCTGTTTGAGATGCTGTAGCAGCAGCTCTGGTGCTGTCTGACAGATTTTCCGCTCAAAGGCTCTGTATCTGTATGCTGTACACGTGATAAAATGCATAACGAATATAGACTACTGTACCAAGCCAATTTAATTTCACAAAATTATGCAAATTAACCTATAGACGAATAAGCATGACCAGTCAAATGTATGTACATCGACTGGTATTTAGATCTAAGAATAGGATAAAAAGTATTATTTCGCAATGGATTTTCTTCTTCTTCTCCTGGACAATTGGCCAGTGAAAATTGTATTTATCGGCTTTTGCGATAAATACAATTGTGAGTAAAGTACATGTCTGTTAAAATTTTTTATGACAGGCCTGATGGAAACAGAAGATTTGTTGGTAAACTAAAAATCATCTTGCTCTTTTGTCCATAATAATATCATCATGTGCATCATGATATCTGAGTGAGAGTGACTAACGAAAACATTGAGGGCCCCAAGGCTGGTAGTTCGACCATGATTACTACCAGTGACGATTTTAGCATGTAAATCTTGGTGGAGCAAACTCCCAATTAATTTTATTGATGCATGCCAGCAAAGCCACTACACAACACAACACTAAACAATACATTCATTGCACTATAATGGTGACAAACGGTGCCCACAAACTATTAGGGCCTACATAAAGCTGTACCAACAGCAGAGCTTTCTTTTCAGCACCATGGAGTCAATCCTTACCACTGCTACACCTGGCTATCAGCGGAGCCTTGTCTGGCAGCGAAACAATTTATTAAGCCTCATTTACTGCCTTTAAAAAAACAGCTGATATGGCTGACTTGCTTAACCTCTACGGGATCGGTGTCCCGTATACGGGACGGTTGAGCTAACGTGCGCTAATGTGATTAGCATGACTGTTGTAAGTAACAGCAAACCTTCCAGGACATAGTCTCAAATGGGCAGAAAGCTTACATTCTTGTTAATCTAACTGCACTGTCAAATTTACAGTAGCTATTACAGTAAAAAAAAAAACATGCTATTGTTTGAGGAGAGTGCACAACAACAAAAAACGTATCATGGTAACTGGTTTGATACATTCACCTCTGAAGGTAAATAATGTACTTACATTCAGTAATCTTGCTCTGATTAGTCATCCTAAGGGTCCCAGAGATAAAATGTAGCATAGTTTTGTTTGATAAAATCCATTTTTATATTCAAATGTAGGAACTGGGTTCTACAGTTTGAACCCCTGCTGTCTCTGGCTCCACACCCACCCCACCCGGCCATCTAGATGTGTGAAAGTTAGTGTATAAGCTAATGATCTATCATGTATGACATTCCTGGTAGTGTGTAAACTTACATTTTGTATTACCATATCATTTTTGTATGTTCTCTATAGTTATGTACTTGAAAATGTATCAATTGACCAATTCGGCACATTTGGGCAGACTTGATACAAAATAGTCCAGTATTGCAATGCTTCACTGGATCAATCTGAAACACACACTGCTGCCATCTAGTGGCCAAAATCTAAATTGCGCCTAAACTGCAGTATCATATTGTGGCCTTTCTCTTGCATTTCAAAGATGATGGAACATTAATTTCACATTTCCACACATTTCAAAGTGTTTCCTTTCAAATGGTATCAAGAATATGCATATCCTTGCTTCGGGTCCTGAGCTACGGGCAGTTCGATTTGGGTGTCATTTTAGGCATAAATTGAAAAAAAGGGGTCCGATCCTTGAGGTTAAACAAATGTGGTTTCTACTGACAATTGAGATGTACAAACTATGGCATAAGGGGACGACGAGCGGATAAGAGGCAATCCGTAATTTCGATTAAGACATTAA